CATTTTGAAGTGTCCTTTATTATATTGTTTAATTTTATAGGCATGTAATAAAGCTCGTGTGCCCCCAGCCAATCCATAAGAGTTTTAGGTAAAGGGGTGGGATTTGGCGGGGGCTGTGGGGTCTACTGTGTGTGAGAGAGGGAGGAGAGATAAGCTACTGCTATCGAGTGGACATTTGAGTCTGTAAACTAGCAACATGCTGTTACTTTCATGGTTGAAAGTACCTCATATGTGGAGCTGTTGTAACCTACCAAGAGGAGGAGGAGACAGACGTTTTACCAGTGTGATGGAAGCAAAGCTCGTATGGTCTCTTCTGCTGATTTGAGTTTTGAATTTAGTGTGACTGTGGGTTTTGTGTGTCGTGGCTGAACCCTGCTGGTAGCCTTGATGCCCTTTTTCCCATCTGTCCCTTTGAATTGTCTGAAGCTCTGAATATCGATGTTGGCATGCGCCTTTTATTTTATTGGTTGTTTACAAGTGAAGTGGCCACAGTGCACCCCAGCCATGATTTAGGCCTGCAACAAGGGTTTTATTTTTAAGAACGTCTGGGACTGAGTGTGCGTGGGCTACCCGCGCATTTGCGTACATAAGATTTTCTGGAGGAGGACAGACATTTGTTTAGAATTCTTAAAGATGTCGAAGAAGCAAGCTCCTTTAAGCAATTACTTTGGTGTTCCTCCACTTCCAAAGAAATGTCAGAAGGAGTCTGAACCCGCAAAAGAAGCGCGTATTCTCGGAAAAGTGGTTGCAGGAGGTGAGCTGGCTTCAAACAAATGATGAACGCACAGAGAAGTGGGGCAGAATATGCCGTGAAAATCCCACTCTAGCGGACAAAAACAGTGCGTTTTATATGTACGTAAACGCACGTTGCAACTTCTTATCTGGTGCACGTCTTTTATTTTGACAGCGCATGCGCACCTGCGGACCACTTATGTGCACCCCTGATCATAGTGAATGAAATGTAGTGAACACCACTTTATCAGTTCTACATATTAATTTACCACTAAACTCAAATGTTTTTACTTTATTTCGTTTTTTTCTTTCTACTGGGAATCACTCACTAAAGTGAAGTGCATTTCAATTGATATGCTTGTCTTGTTGCTTGTTGATTTATATTTTGGGTTATAAGCATGAACAAGACAATATCAAAAGCAAATTACACCTTTGAGACCCAGGCCCCACTCACAGCTACATGAGACAGGTGTTACATGTATGCCAGGAGTGACATCAATTCTCTTGGATGTACAACAATGACATTGGAATGTCATTCAGACGGAAGAACTGTTGTCAGATGGTAATAAAGAGAGGGAAACTACTCAGAACCAAGGGAATAGCACTACCAGAACCTTGTAGACACTGAGGATAGCCACAAGTACCAGGGACTTCAACAGGCAAATAGGAACCATGAAGAGGCCACTGGAAAAGCTGCAACTCAGCCACCTGAGACATTGTCCTAAGAAGGGAAGGTGACCAAGGTCTATTGAGTGTCACAACCACTGACTAGGATGAAACAAAAGATTCATGAGTACATCAGCAAGATAGACACAACATATTGGTTAGTTATACCAAGTGATAGCAACCTCAGGAAAAAGGAACACGAGAAGCTTGAGATATACCTAGGGCTGAGAAAGGACCTTGAGAAGATCTGGTGGGTGAAGGCAACACAACAGTGATTCAGTGGTAATTGGAACATTGACCCCCAAAGTGGGCAAGTGGCCTCAGTGTCATGAACTCGCTGTGTGCAGGCAGGAATAGGACCCAAAAGCAGACTCCCAGAAGCAGGAAGTGAACTCAAAAAACATGGATTTATTGCTGGAAAAAGGAAAAATCATACAGAACTAAACTGGGGAATTCTAATAATCATTCACACAGGGAAACACAGGGAGAGTCACAAAGCTATGAGGACACGGAACTGAGGGAGATGCGGACATAAATACACAGACGGATCATGAGGGAAGTGAGAACACATGGAAAGCACAGCTGGCATGAATAACCATAAAGAGACAGGGGAAGAGCAAACACAAAATAACGCACACTGACGGGAGACTATCAAAGTATGGAGGAGAGGCAACCGAGAGGGAGCGAGGGAGAGAGAGAACAAAAATGATGGACTAGGGAAATATGAAGGAATAAAACACATGGAGGGGAAACAAGACACAAGGCTCACATTGTATAAACACAGACATTCAGGTGAGACAGAGGACAAAGACACAAGGGGAGATCTAATAAACCATACTGAACAGAATAAGCTAGGAACCATAGAATACAAGTGAACTCAAAAATAATACAGAATCAATCAAAAACCCTGGATTAACGGAGATGTTCGCGCGGCACTGGCGGCACGGAGCACCGCCTTTGCCTCCGCGAACACATCGGACTACAAACACGCACATTACCAACTCCGGAAGACGATCAAAGCAGCCAAACGTGAGTACAGGGACAGGGTGGAGCAACAGTTTGACAACCCTCAGAGTATGTGGCAGGGACTAAACACGATCACAGACTTTAGAGGGAAAACCAGCACACCGCAGACCACGGCCTCTCTGTGTGAGGATCTAAACGTATTCTACGCTAGATTCGACACAGCGAACACCATGAGACCGGACAGTGTGCGCACTGCGGATGACGTCAGTGCGCACACTGTGTCTGAGGAGGATGTGCGGAGGTGCTTCAGGAAGGTGAACGCACGCAAAGCTACTGGTCCGGACGGGATTCCCGGCCTTGTCCTCAAGTCATGCGCGGCTCAGCTGGCTGGAGTGTTCACGCACATCTTCAACCTTTCCCTCTCTCTGTCTGTAGTCCCAGCCTGCTTCAAAATGGCCACCATCGTCCCTGTACCCAAATCCTCCACCATCTCCTCATTGAACGACTGGCGACCTGTAGCCCTGACCCCCATCGTAAGCAAATGCTTCGAGAAGCTGGTCAGGGACTTCATCTGCTCTGCACTACCCGACTCACTGGACCCTCTACAGTTCGCATACCGCCACAACAGGTCCACTGATGATGCCATAGCCCTGACACTACACACTGCCCTGTCACACCTGGAGAAGAGAGACACGTATGTGAGAATGCTGTTTGTAGATTACAGCTCAGCATTCAATACCATCGTTCCCTCGAAGCTGGACAGGATACTGCAGGATCTAGGACTGAGCAGCTCCCTTTGCAGCTGGATCCTTAGCTTCCTGTCTGACAGACGCCAAGTGGTCAGACTGGGCAGCATCACCTCATCCCCCATCACACTGAACACTGGTGCTCCACAGGGGTGTGTACTGAGCCCTCTCCTATACTCACTCTACACCTACGACTGCACAGCCACTAACAACTCCAAAATCATTGTGAAGTTTGCGGACGACACTACAGTGGTGGGTCTTATCACCAATGGTGATGAGACGGCTTACAGGGAGGAGGTCAGCGCCCTGACCCACTGGTGTCAAGACAACCATCTCACCCTCAACGTCGCAAAGACAAAGGAGTTGATAGTGGACTTCCGGAGGTGCAGAGAAGTACACACCCCCATCACCATCAACGGCGCTGCTGTGGAGAGAGTGAGCAGCTTCCGCTTCCTTGGTGTACATCTGGCTGAGGATCTTACGTGGTCAGTACACACAAACAAAACAGTGAAGAAGGCGCAGCAGCGCCTCTTCTTTCTCAGGAGACTGAAAAGATTCGGCATGAGCCCCCGCATCCTCAGGACCTTCTATCACTGTGCCATTGAGAGCATCCTCACTGGATGCATCACCACCTGGTATGGCAACAGCACCGCCTACAACTGCAAAGCTCTCCAGCGAGTAGTGCGGTGCTCTGAACGGATAATTGGAGGTGAGCTTCCCTCCCTCCAAGACATCTACAGGAAGCGCTGCCTGAGGAAAGCGGGGAGGATCATCAAAGACTCCAGTCACCCCAGCCATAGACTGTTCAGACTACTTCCATCAGGAAGGAGGTTCTGCAGCATCCGGTCCCATACCAGCAGACTGAGAGACAGCTTTTTCCATCAGGCCATCAGACTGCTGAACACGTCATAGACACCTCACTTTCACTACTGGAACTTCAACATTATGCACTCCATACTGTACAGTAATGCCACTGTTTTGCACATGTCTCAACTCTGTATATTTTTATAATTTTTATTTATTGTTTACTCTATTTAATTTGTAAAATATGTGTACACACACACACACACACACACACACACACACACACGTAGAAAAATATTTAGTATACACATCCAGAAATGCATATACTATTATATATTGTACATATATTTATTAGTTTCAGATGTAGCCATTCTTGTATTTTGCTTGTTTACATTATTGTATTTTGCACAACTCTGTTGCTTGTGAAGCTCGCACACAAGAATTTCACTCACATGTGCTGTACCAATGTACCTGCACATGTGATGTGACAATAAAAGTGATTTGATTTGATTTGATTTGAATGACCAAAAATGCACAACACCCCCCCCCCCCCCCCCCACCAAAAAAACAAAAAAATCAAACAAACAAAAAACTGGGTCAAAAGGACCCAGAAACATGACACTTAGGGGATCCCAGGACTGAGAAGTGATTATCAATGATTATCAGTCATGTTCCAGTCTGGAATCTGGCTGTACCACTCAAGGACATTTACAAAGTGGTCAAGAAGTCACTTTTTTGTTATCTTGGTTGCATGCTTAGGGTTGTTGTACTGCTAGAAGAACCTTCACTCCAGTGAGTGCTCTCATTAACGCTAAAACTGTCAGTGAAGATACTACCCATCCCTATTCCTTTTGCAGAATCCCTGTCATCACAGCATTTATGCATAAAGTGCTCTATGGGCTGATTTTCATTAACTCCTCAGTCAGCTTTGTGGTATTCTCCATGTCCTCAATAGGACATGGAGATAATGATGTCTTTTAAGAATGCTATTAGTTAATATATAAAAGAATGAATGAATAAACAAATAAATAGAATGCTCCTAGTGGAAACAATACATTAAATCTTTACTTCAATTTTTTTCCCCAGGTCACTATCTTTGGGTTTGGAGCAGACAGCGGGGGAAGCTGGAGCCATTACTTTGAAATCTTCAAAAACAAAAAATTTAAAACAGGAGCCCATCCAGGAGCAGACGAATATAAAATGATAGAGAAATTACACAAAAAGAAGACAATTGTTTTTTTTAAAGGATGGTAATTTCTTTTTCATGTTTTCATTTCTGTCTTTATCAGTTGCAAATCATCTAACCATAGACCTGTGTTATAAAAATGAATAAGTGATGGTAATTGCCCCCCCCCCCCCCCCCTTCAAAATAAACACCACTATACACTAACTTTATCTATATTTGACTTTATCACTAGTAACCTTATATACATAGCTGGACTGGCCATTGGGCATACCGGGCATTTGCCCGGTGGGCCGATGGTAATTTTTTGTTTTAAATGGGCCGATGTTTTGTTGTTGTTGTTGTCTTTTTTTCGTAACCGTGTAAACAGTGAAAGGTGGCGGATTGGACAGATGCTGGCAGACATGTAAAATTAACTCAATTGTTTGGTAGTGGCTATGGTGGAGCTTTCACAGATTCAGTAAAATTAGCAAGTACTGGAGGCCAGCAGGTGGATGGGGGAAAGGGGAGGCAGAGGTGGAGAGACCCATGGCAGCCGCCGGTCTGACTGTCAGGTGAAATGAGCTTCAGGTAAGAAGTTATGACCTGCAGTCTATCTGGGTCAGATATAAACCAAGTTTAGTTGTAGTTTGTTTTCGTTGTGCTAACTTTTTACAGTCAGTTACAATAACTCGTACTGTGTACTAGCTAGCATGACAGAGTTTTTATACAGCTGGGTGGGTGCTATATGTTACTGGTGAACTTTATTTTATTCATATGGTTAATTAGTAGAGTTGTCTACCATCCTGTAAAAAACGGAATCCTCTGGTATTCAGAGTTAATATTACGCGTTTCGTATTGAGCTGAAAATAAATGCGATTTGTCCCGTACTTCAGCTACAATAAAGAAAAAGACAAAAAGCTGGAGTTATTCTGTGTCTTTACCCTGTCAGCTGCCTCTTCTTCTCTCATTCTCCCCCCTCCCTCTCCTGCTGCTACTTCAATCATGAAACTGATCAATGATCAGCTGATCAGCGTTTCTGCCTCAAGTCCCGTCTCTCTTGCTTGTTTATCTCCCGCTTTGCGCCAGAAAGAGGAAACTAGCGGAGGTCGCGTTAAACAGCAGAAGCGCCTTTAAACTTGATAAGCTGTTGTTAGAATTTATTTAATATTACTTTCTAGTATCAGCTGATGTTTGTTGGAGCCATAAAAGCTGCTGGTCATGATATCGGTTTGGTTATCTGGTGAGAGGGAAACATGAAGATAAAACCAGGAGATGTCCTTACTGAATCATCAGAGCTGAACAGGTGATGGAGAAACTGGTTTACCTTTTGGCTGACATGAATGAGTTGAAGGAAAGCCATGAACTGCTTCTGAGAGACAACTTACACCAGGATCCTTTTCTATGTAGCTGACAGCTGTTAACTGTGCAGGGGCGGGTCTACCAAAGTTTTGCCATGGGGCCAGGTAGAGCATTAACAGGGAAAGGGGGGCACAAAGAAATACTTTTCTCTCTTATTCTCATTTAAAATTTCTAGCTTTTAACTAATAATTATCCGAATCTTACAACCAAAGTTTTCATCTGATATCAAATTTATAGAAATCCATTATTGTACATAGTAAGTTTTTTTTCAGGGTCCCAACATAATTTCTTCAGAAGAAAGTACTGTACATGATGCTAGTATCTTCCTACATTTTCTAGATACTGTACTAGTACTTTGTGTAAAATCCTATCAAAAAGTCAGTTAAGTTTTAATCTTTCTCACCTGTCTTTCTGTCGCCTTTCACTTTTAAAAGGTTGCTATGTTAGAAAAAATATTTTGCCCTGCCATGCTGTTTATTGATGTGGTAAATAAATAGTTTATGAAAATATCACTAAATCTGTCATTTATTATTTTTAATATTCAGTAATGATCATGTCTCACCTCTAGTCTTCTCTGTCTTAATTTCAGGTTTCCACCATATGTTGTAGATAGTTCAGGAAGTTAACTCAACCAAGCAGCCTTTGGGTTTTGGCTAAGTACTGTTTAGAATACCAGAATAGGGAGGATGGTGTAGGTTTAAGTTTATTAGATTGATACATATGTACCAACAAGACAGTGCACATCACTGTCACAACAACGTTTGTTTTCATTCTAAGGCTTTATGGTTTTTCCTATAATACCTGGTGGGCCGGTCTCTAGTCAAAATACCCGGGCTGATTTTTTGTCCCAGTCCAGCCCTGCTTATATACATTTTGCCTCCAAAATAATAGAAAATACAATGCAAAATCCAAAGTGCAGTCATAATCCCCTGTAACTTGTTCATGAAAAAAAAAAAGAAAAGTATAGAGGTTTGTTGCTAAAGGGTTATTGAATACATTTGATAGTCATACTGGATACCTTTCAAGTATACCTTTCAAGACAAGTCATACCTTTCCATAATAAAGATTGAACAAGGTTTTAAATAAACAGATGTGCCTGAGAGCAGTGTGTTTGATTTGTGTTCTTTTTCCGAATGCCAATTTTCCATCGATCCATTCTTGCTTATCCTTATCAGGGTTGTGGGGGATTTGGAGCATATGCCAGTTATCATAGGACAAGAGGTGGGGTTAACCCTGGACAGATTGCCAGTCTGTCACAGGGAACAGATAACAGTTTGCACTCGCTTTCACACCTATGGGCAAATTAGAATCACCAGTTAACCTAACCCTATGTATATCTTTTGGGGGAGGAAGCCAGAATACCCAAACAGAACCCAGGCAAATACGGGGAGAACATGCACGAAAGGCCCCAGCTGGATGATGGAATACATATTAGCCACCCATCTTAATCGTTTCTGACATAGATGGACCCTGGAATGTACTTTATATATTTAAGTCACTTAAATTATTAGTTATTTTAGTTATTTTGTATAAGAAAATTGTGTTTGTTGCTTTTATGTGTGTGTGATTATTTGTTATTGCTCGGCTTGTAAGATAACATAGTCATTGCCTCATAACAAGTTTACAATAGAAGGAACATGTTCTCATTTCACGATAATGATAAATGTGGGGGAAGCATACTGACCTTACTTCCAAAGATGAATCTGGGAACTATTAACATAATGCCTTCAGTAGGGTACAACACTAAAAATGTTTATTTTAATAATGCTTTTCAACATATGGTTACACTGTACAGCCCAAAATGTACACCTGAACAATGAAAAGCAATATACCGTATTTTCACGACTATAAGGCGCACATAAAAGTCTTAGATTTTCTTCAAAAAGTGCGGCACACCCTATAGTGCAGTGCGCCCTGTGTGTGTTGTTGTTGTAAGGAAGACGTAGTAGAGAACACCATGAGAACGCTAAAGGGGGAAGTGTGGGCGTTGATTGTATATTTATGAAGTGCCTTGAGGCGACTTTTGTTGTGATTTGGCGCTATATAAATAAAATTGAATTGAAATTGAATTGAATATAAAAGAACAGGTATGTGCGTTATGCAGAACATCGTTGTTTTAACAACCCTGAAAATGGCAAAGAGACACGCTTATGAAGCACAGTTCAAACTGAAGGCCATCAGCTATGTGGAGAACATGGAAATCGAGCAACCGCGAGAGAATTTAAGATTAATGAATCGATGGTTTGCAAGTGGAGGAAGCTGGAAAACGAGCTCCGACAGGTCAAGAAGACGCAGCTGAGTTTCCGCGGACATAAGGCGAGGTGGCCCGAGTTGGAGGAAAGACTCGAGCAGTAGATCATTGAGCAAAGAACGAGTGGGAGAAGCGTTTCGACGGTCACCATTCGACTAAAAGCAGCAACGCTAGCAGAAGAAATGAAAATTGAACATTTCCAAGGAGGTCCGTCTTGTCTTAAGATGGCGCGGCCACGTCCAGACGCCTTCCTGACCACTCCGCTCCGACTATCTACTTTTCTTGTTTTTTACCTATTTTTTGCTCTGGTTTTCATCCCAAAATCCTCTAGTCTTATAGTTTACGACAGCGGATCACTTGTAAACATCGGTGCCAAGGTTGCACATCTAATCTTGGACACTTTTAAACCCGACCCTTCCTGGCCTTCAGAGATTCTACGCGGCGCGGAGAACAACAAAGGACGGGCCGCTCATCCGAGGCGCAGAACAAAGAAGCGCCGGGGGAAATGCGCTGGTATTAGGAACAGACTGAGACAGCAGGCGCATTGCGCACCACTGCCCAGTATCATACTGGCCAATGTACAATCCATGGAGAACAAGCTCGACGACTTAAGAGCAAGGGTCACCTTCCAACGTGACATGAGGGACTGCAACATTCTGTGCTTCACGGAGACATGGCTGACCCCCACCGTGCCTGACCAGGCCGTAACTCCGTCGGATTCATTCTTTGTGCTCTGCGCGGACAGAACGGCAGAGTCAAACAAAACCAAAGGTGGGGGAGTGTGTTTCATGGTAAACAGAAAGTGGTGTGATGCCAGGAGCATTTCTACTCTCTCCAGCGGCTGCTCGCCACATCTGGAGTTCCTGAGCATTAAGTGCCGCCCTTTCTACCTGCCCCGTGAGTTCACCTCGGTCATCGCCACGGCGGTCTACATCCCACCCCAAGCGGACACAGGTATGGCTTTGTCCAAATTACATGATGTGCTGAGCTCGCTTCAAAACAAGGACCCGGGCGCAGCCCTCATTGTAGCAGGAGATTTTAACAAAGCGAACCTCAGACAAGTCATGCCAAACTTTTACCAGCATGTCTCGTGTCCAACGAGAGGGGATCGAATTTTGGATCACTGCTACACGCCATACAAGCAGGGCTACAAAGCTGTCTCACACCCGGCTTTTGGGAAGTCTGACCACAACGCCATCTTCCTCATTCCCCAGTATAAGCAAAGCATACGGAGGGAAGATGTGACCACGAGGGAGGTGAAACGGTGGACTGCCCAATCAGAAGCTACGCTACAGGACGCACTCAACGACGTCAACTGGGACATGTTCAGAGCATGCGCAGTCGACATCAACGAGTTTACGGAAGTAGCAGTATGCTTCGTCAATATGCTAGCGGAGGAGATTATCCCCACTGCGAGAGTCACCACATTCCCAAACCAGAAACCGTGGATGGACAGATCGATCGCAGTAAACGCCAGGACCGCCTCCTACAACGCGGGTCTCGCCACTGGCGATATGAGCGCCTACAAAGCGGCCTCATACGGCGTGCGGCTCGCGGTGAGAGATGCCAAACGCCGGTACCGGAAACGTGTGGAGTCCCACTTCCACCAGGGCGACACACGGAGTATGTGGCACGGACTACGCACCATTACGGACTACAAAGCCAGGGACACTGCGCCGATCAACGCTGCTGACTCTGCATTCACCAACGAGCTGAATCAGTTCTACGCCCGTTTCGAGGTTAGCCAGGCGGCTAATGCTATCTACCGCCTGACTACCGAGGACAGTGACGTCATCAGCGAGAGACCGGTGACCAGCATCGCGGAGCATGACGTCCGAGCGGCATTGAGGAGAGTGAACACAAGGAAAGCGGCGGGGCCAGACGGCATCACCGGCCGTCTGCTGCGCTGCTGTGCTGACCAGCTAGCAGGTGTGTTCACTTAAATCTTCAACGAGTCCCTGGCGAAGTCTGTGGTCCCCACATGCTTCAAAAGATCCACCATCATCCCTGTGCCCAAGAACAGCAAACCCTCATCCCTGA